GACGCTGAGTGGTCTTCCCTGCTTAAGTACAAAAGCGGCATTGGCCGGCAGCGATGATGGCCTGGCGATTTTGTTTTTCCAAAAGTTGGAAAGATCGGATATCTCGCGCAGGGCAAAAGGACTACAACTATTTTTTTTCATAATTGTGATGTGAGATGTGGCGCTCATGGCACAGGGCCAGATTGGGAGCACACCTGCCTGTGGAGGGAGGAACAAATGAAGTTTTTCCGAAACCTTGAGGATGAAGAGTTCATTTTCATTGAAGCTGGGGAAGGAGAGCTTCCTTGAAGGATGAGTAGGGTTTCAATAATTGGAAATGGGGGAGGAGGGGCATGAGGAGCAGGGCGTGTTGGGGGAAGTGGGAGTGGAAGGTGTCTGCTTGCTAACACTTCTCCCGTGATTTGTGACACCCCCTGTGTTTTAGGACAAATCTGGAGGAAGGATATTTTTGAGTAGGGGAGGAGGAGGGGGGGATGAATGTTTATCCTCGTCTTTTTTTCCTCTGATAGGGTGACAAAGGAGAGTTTTATCCTGAATAATACTTTGGCAATACTTCATTGATTTGTTTGTTTATGTCACTGAAGATGATTCTGTGAGCTATGCTAATCTTTAACATCTAGTACATATGATTTGTGTTTAGATGAGATTATCTTTGTATTTGAATTAAGGCACAATAATGACAATATTTTTAAACGTGTGACTTGTAAAGGGGGACCTAAACGCTCGGTCTTGGCAGAGGGCCTGGTTCTAAGTGCTCCTGAAGCTGAAAGGTTGTGCCCTCCCATTTGACTGTCCCGTTCTGCTGATACATCTTTTAGAGAAAGTTCCAATTCCTGACGAGGAGCAGAGAGCTGACATGATTTTTCACTTAGGTGTGCAGAAAGAATTGGTTAGCTTTGTGCACAAAGTAGGCTGAAATCAAGCTTTAATTAGTCAGACTTTTGCATAATTCATCACGGTCACTTTGTAAGTCCAGCTGAATATACTCTTGATTTTTATCATGATGTGTTCATTTTAAAGGACTCACTGTCTTTCAGTTAATTTCTTGATGCCCAAATACTCAGGTCTTCCAAGTACAGCCATAACAATGCACCCAGTCTCATTTTAAAGAAAAATGCATTGCTACATAAGGACCCGTAAAGAAGCGAATCAATCAATCTATAAAAAAGTTCTTATTAAATATCATTCTTGTTATTGATATAATCAGCTTTAAAGACAGGAAAGTAACCTAAGGACTTTTTCTGTCTTTTTGGATCCATAGGCTGTCCATCTGGCCCAGGCAAGCTTCCAGATTCAGGCCTTTGGCTCCAGGTTTATTCTTGACCTCACACTGAACAAGTAAGTATTTAGTCATAATCCTGTTAAGCAAGTGCAATAAAACTTCACTTCATGGTAAGGGTTCAATCAAAATATTGACACTGATAAGATGTCATATAACACTTCAAGAAAAACATAAAAGTCTAAAGTTAATTATTTTTTATTTTCCTGGAAGAAGAGGCATTTAACATTTAGCTTGTTAAGTATCTCAAGTACAGTACTTAGAGGGTAGGATTTTAAATGAAATACATATTTGAAGTAATGCTAGTTAATTAAATGTTAACTATAATCATTATTACACATAGGAAGCATGATAAATTACTGACTCAAGTATAAAATTTTCTTCCAATTTACCTTGCATTATACAATTCTCATATTGTATTGCAATTCTGAATAAACAAAGACAAAGATGACTTGTAAATATATTGAGAAGGTTCTTTGCTTTGTAATTTGCTCTCATATGGGTCTTTTCAAAATTTTGGTCCTGATAAAAATTTACCTGATTTTTCTCTGAGCATTTTAAGTTTGTGTTGATATTTAAATGCTGTTTTCTAAGTTGGAACTCATTGCACAGATGTCTTTCTACAAAACATGGGCAAGAGCTGTTGACAAAAGTAGTGAGCTTTCTTTGGTGAAAGGGATTCTTTGGTGAAAGGGATTTCCTGTATGGGTGTCTTTAGTTTAAGAAGCTCCCATCAGTATTTTAAACTATCATCAGTATTTTGACCAGGACTGCATCTTTGCCAAAAAAATACCATGTAATGCTATCAGACACTGTAATGTAGGTGACCACAATCAATAGCAGAGAAATTGCAAAGGATTCTAAAAAAGAGCTATTAAATTTCTTGTATGCCAAATTCTGTGAACACTGCAGAAAAAAATGCAGAGTCAGCTTGGGTGCTCCTTACTCAAGTGTTATTGCAGCTTTAAGTCAGAATGAATCAGCAGAACTCAGAACTTCCTTTGTTAAAGGTACTGCAGGTTTCCCTTTTTGAGTCTGCTGAGCATTGGTTGAGTTCCTTTCCACCAGCCTGTGTCAGCACTGTGCCTGCCTAAGACATTTGTCTTGCCAAATCTTAGACTATGTTGAGAAGCTAGCTATGGCTAAATTTAGTGTTTTTGTCCTCTATTCCTTTAATTTTTACTGCAATGGAGACTGTCATTGCAGACTGTAGCGTGGCATTAGCAACCAACATTGCTAATGTGTTGGTTGAGGCTGATGGCCACAGAAGAACCTCCCAATCAAATGACTGGGAAGGGTCATGTAGGATGTCCAGGGTATGTACAGGTCTGGAAACATATCATTAAGTTACTTATCACTAATATTTGACGTGCAAAGGAACCAAGTTGAGCACCTGCTATGAATAATCCTTGCCTTTAGGAGTTTACAGTTTAGTTGGGTAAGGTCATCAGATTAATATATAATTTTTGATGAGTGAAATTTGCTGTACTAGAGATAAACGTGGAATGCTGTGGTATATGTACTAGAGGAGATAGTGTGTGCTAAGTAGGCAAGGCCAGGGAGTGTTAAAGGAGAATTAGTCTTTTGTTGAATTTCTTCGCAAATTACAAGATTGAGGCAAGGGAAATGAGTCAGGAGACATGGGCTTAGAGACAGCTCAAGTCTTGGAAGATCTTGTATGTAATGCTCAAGTGCTTGTCCATTATCTCCTAGACCATGAAAAGTGAAGGGGAATAAACAGAAGTTCAATTCTCAGAAAGTGTTAAGGGACACAGTGAGGTAGTGCAATAAATACATATCTACAAATGAATCTGAAAACCAAACGAACAAGAAATCTAATGAACAAAATAAGCTGATGAGTAAAATAGAACCAGAAGCATGAAAACATGGAACAGACTGATGAATCTCAGAGGGAATGGGGGTTGGGGGATGGTGCAGGAAGAACTTAATCAAAGAACTCATATGTATATATGCATTACCTGCGGACACAAACAATAGGGTAGTGAAGGTCTGGGGTGGAGCAGGAACCAGGTGGAGAGGGACAATGGAGGGAGAAAGGGGGACATCTGTAATACTCTCAACAATAAAGATTGAAAAAAATAAGTAAATGCAGTGGGAGTGAGGCCACAGAGGTCTAATCACGTGGCATCTCCCCTGTGCAGATTTCTGAGCCATCTGAGGACAACATGGGTGTGCGAAATGACCTGGAGACAGGGGAATTGTACTTTATAAACATGTGACATGTGTTGACCAGGGTGGGTCTCTGGTTTAACTAACTTTCAATGGCTGGGATTAACTAAAAAGTCTGATCCACATTAGAATAAACTTAAAGAGTCAGAGAAATTTTTTTGAAAAATATTTTTATTGATTTCAGAGAGGAAGGGAGAGGGAGAGAGAGAGAAACATCAATGATGAGAATCATTGATCGGCTGCCAGGAATCGAACCATGACCTCCTGGTTGATAGGTCGATGCTCAACCACGATACTGAGCCACGCTTGCTGGGCCAGAGAAATTTTTAATGAGTCACGGAGGAACCAAAAGAGCTTCTGAGGAAAGAGGGATCTCATACCTATTATTGGGTGGTCATTGCCACACGATTAACCACAATTTTAGTTTTTTAAATATATATTTTTATTGATTTCAGAGAGGAAGGGAAAGGGAGAGATAGAAACATCAATGATGAGAGAGAATCATTGATAGGCTGCCTCCTGCATGCCCCACACTGGGGATCGAGTTCGCAACCCGGGCATGTGCCCTGACTGGGAATTGAACCATGATCTCCTGGTTCATAAATCAACACTCAACCACTTCGCCATGCCAGCCAGGCTATTTACAACAAGTTAAAATCGTTGGAGGAGGGAAAAAGCAAAAGGTATATGATAAGTATATGGGCTCAGTGAAAGAGTGAAAGCATAGAGATATTAACACATTGCGGGCGAGTCATGAGCATTCTCGTGTTTTCATATTACACAGTGTTTTACATAAATGTGAAAAGCACGCATTAAAATTAAATACCCATTGCATTTTGAAGTTATTTATTACATGTTCTTACAAGCTAATATCTTTTTAAAGTATGATACTTTCTAAAACGTTTTTTGTGCTCATTCAATAGAAACTTATCTGGCCTTTGGGTAAAGCTAGCAATAAAACTACTGGAGCGCAATGTGTTAAAATAAACTAATCAAAGTGGTGACCACAGAATTTAAATGGTTAATGTCCTCACCAGGGCTGGACCATCAGCTTGGGAAAATTACCCTGATGTGAGTTCCTGAGAGGAGAGTCTTTTTGAGTTTGTGTTCTCATAGATTGAACAATGGAGGCCTTGGCTTGATGAGGCATCTTAGGGCAGAGGTGTGGGTTTTATTTATTTCTTCCTTGAACATTGAGTGAACATCTGCTCTATGCCAGCGGCTGCTGTAGGTGCTGATGCTGCTGGGAACAAGATAGACAAGGTCCTTACCTCCCCTGATGGAGCGTCATTCCAGGGGAAAAGGCAGATGGTGAACCGCTAAATAAAGACAGGTGCATTGAAGGACATACAACTGGGCTATGTAATGGAGAGGGACTGTGGGTTGGGGTGGCTGATGTTATTTAAATGTCACAGAAGCCAGAAGGTCTGTCTGAGGAGAGACAGTGAGCTGAGACTTGATTGTCAAAGATGAGCCACCCCATGAGGCTGGAAGGCTAAGGGTTCCTCACAGCTGGGACAGTAAGACAGCAAGTGTTGAGGAGAATAGGGAATGTTCAAGAAGGACAGAGGCAAGTGTGACTGGAGTGCAGTGGGGGGCAGGGGGTGGTGGGAGACTGAGGAGACAAGACCAGAGAGGAACCAGGAAGCCAGAACATTGTCCATGGTGAGGCATTTGGGTGGGAAGGCATTGGGCAATAAGCATGGATGCCATGCCATCATTTTATTTGGCCCAAAAGGTCTTAATTGTGGCCTTAGAGGACCTTTGGTCATATCCCTTTTAGGATACCCTCCTTTTCAATTTTTTTTTTCCTCCGGAATAACCACTGTTTCAAGATACAAAAGGTTTAAAAAGGATTAGGAGATGAATAATTCTTAATGTTTATCGATCCTTTGAAATCCAGGGCGGAGGGGGGGTGGGTGGGGAGGAATCTGAGGATTGTCTTCCCTATGTGTATGATTGGAATTATGCCATAGCCCGTATTACCTGTAATTAAATTTGCTGGTGTCTTCAGCAAATGTGTATTGGGAATAACTGTGATCAGAGCCATGTCATGGTTGAAAGCACAGGTTCTGGAGTCAAACAGACCTAGGTTTGAATCTGGGGCTGCCATTTACTAATTTTGTGAACTTGGGCAAGTTTCTCAACTTTTTATAATAACAGCATGATATATCGCTCACATGCCATAAATTTCCTCCGTTGAAGTGGCTTTTATTATATTAGGAGTTGTGCAATTATCACCACCATCTAATTCCAGAACATTTTTGTTGCCCCAAAAAGAAACCTTGTACCTACCTGTAGCAGCCACTCCTCATTCTCCCCCCCCCCCAAGCCTTTGGCAACCACGCATTTACTTTCTGTCTCAAAGGTTTTGCCCATCCTGGACATTTTATATAAATAGATTTATATGACTTTTGTTTTGTGACTGCTTTTATTAGCATAATGTTTTCAAGGTTCACCTATGTTGTAACTGAATAATTTCTCATTGTATGAATATATAGGGTGGAGCAAAAGTAGGTATACAGTTCATGTGGAAAATAATATGATAATAAATAATAATATAAGACTAAAACTTCATGTTTCATGTACTCACAACTGTAAACCTATTTTTTGCCCCACCCTGTAATTTTCTTAAGCTTTAGTGTCCTTCCTAAGCTGTAGGTTATTGTAAAGATTAAATGAGATGGTACTTACACATGTCTGCTAATTGTAAAGACATGTTCAATGTTGTGGACTGAATGTGTCCTTTTAAAATTCCTATGTTGAAACCTTAACACCTTAACTCCCAACATAACTATTTGGAGGTAGAGCCTATAAGGAGGTAGTTAAGGTTCAGTGAGATCATAGGGTCGAGCCATGATCTGATAGG